ACACACATGCACACACACGCACACACACACACACACACATGCACACACACGCACACACACACACACACGAACACACACACACACACACACAAACCAATCTCCTGACAATATGCGTTTTGTGTTTTTACAAATATGCACAAAAGCACTTAAAAAAATGAAATTTATACCGTTTACAATAAATTATCTAAATTATACTGGATATCTTGCAACGTTCCATACAGCTCTGCAAGCTCTAGTCTGTTCATTTCCGCAATTTTAGGACCCTGACCAGTGTCAAACCGAAGGACTGCTTTTACCTCGTGCAATAACAAATTGTTGTAACTGAAACTACATTGTATATTCAAAAGAGCAATAATCAAGTGAGAAAGAATAAAACTAAAATAGTTCGAGAGAGAAAAAACCCCAGATTCATCCAGTTCTGCACAAAGATAAGAAAGAATCAAATGTTCCTATCCAGAATCAAATGGCATTCTGGCCCTGTTCTTTACTTTTGATGCATGAAATGAGCTTTTCTCTCGCTCCTAGCACAGATTTTCAAGCCTCACCACTATGTTTTACTATATGAATAAATTACCCACCAAATGGCAAGCCCCTCTGCCTGTTCCTGCATACTTCCTTTCTAACATTTTCCACTTTCTCTCCCAACAAGGTAAAACGAAGTTAACGCTCACATCCTTTCGGCTAATAATCTATCCGTATCGTTAAAACAGAGGTTAAAACTTGACACAGCACTACTGGAGATATATTACTACTACCAAACTGAACAACTTGTGATGGCGTGGAGCCTCCAGGTACTTAATTTTGGAAGTACTTCCTACTAAAATAGCTTGTAGTGAAGCAGTAAATTCACAACAGTGATCCAACACTTACCTCGACACATCCATACGCAAAATCCATCCGACATCACATAAACTGAGTCGACTGGCATTTGATATATCTCCCAGCCTGTCAGAAACAGTTAGTCCGTGTTCAGCATATATCGTTGTAACTGCATCTCTTATTTCCGCATTAAATCCAGCCTTAAAATGAAAATTCATAATAATTGGCCAACGCACGGGCTGTCCGTGCGAAGATGCGTTTTTTGCATAGTTCCCCACTGTTTTTGTCGCTACCGACATCGATTTTTTCGGCAAATCCTTTCAGCTAAACAAATTAAGACTGGTCGCCAAAACTGGCAGGAAACACCCCCTTAAAATTTCAGCTTTCTAACTTTCGTGACTCCTGAATTAGCAACTTGCTGGAAAAAATTTCACGAGTCCGCACGCAGGTACCACGCTTATCCGATGTCTGGGTTTGAGTTCGTTGAGACTTACTTGGACAGGGAACATCTTCCTAAAACTACAGTCTTTTAGCTTTTCTGGTTCTCGAGTTATGAACTTACCTGAGAAAAACCGTGGTGAACCCGTGCATAGGTACCATGCATGACCGAGGGCTGGGTATGAGCTTTTTGAGATTAATGTGGACGGGGAACATCCTCTTAATATTACAGTCTTCTAGCATCTCAGATCCCCGAGTTATGAACTTACCCGGGAGAAATTTTGGCGGGCTCGTACGCGGGCACCACGATTACGCGGGAGCTGGGTTTGAGCTCACTGATACCTACTTCGACGGGAAACATTCCCGTAAGATTTCAACGTTCTAGCTTTTCTGGTTCGCGAGTTATCAACTTACCCGAAAAAAATTTTGGCGGGGTCTTACGCGGGTACCACCTTTACCCGGGGGCTGGGTTTGAGCTCATTAATACTTACTTCGACGGGGAACATCCCCTTAAAATCTCAGCTTTCTGGCATTCCAGATCCCCGAGTTATGAAATTATCCGAAAAAAATTTCGGCGAGCTCTTACGCGGGTACCACGCTTACCCGGGGGTTGGGTTTGAGCTCATTAGTATCTACTTGGACGGGAAACGTTCCCTTAAAATTCCAGTTCTCTCGCTTTTTTGATTCGCGAGTTAGCAGCTTACCTGTAAAAAACTTTGGGGGGCTCTTACGTGGGTACCATGCGGGAAAGACTGCCCATTTTGTGGATGGGGCCCGTACATGCACGTACATTAAATTCCCAAAGTTTCAGCCCTGTAGCTTTTGTA